AATTACCAAGTTTTTTATTTTATCAATCAAAACTTTGCTAATTTCAAATCATCATGGGTTCAAAAGAAACGGATTTGTGTGACGCGTACCGACATTTGCGGGACGGCCTACATTATAATTTAAAAAAGGACCAAGTTGGAGAAAAAACTATTACAACAGATACGAATTTAGCAGAAAATTTAATAGACGAGAATTATCTACGCAAGATAAAGATTGTCATTGTAGCGTTAATGTCACTGCTTAATACAGTTACGATTGGGCACAAAATGTTCACATACTGTACCTTATTCCAAGCCATAGCAATAGGTAATGAGATTTATTATCCCGGTGGTGTAAAGTATTCAAAATAAAGCAGCATGTGAACAAATTAATTATGTTGTTGATTGTTGGGAAAGGGTCCTAATGATATACTGAAATTGAAAATTTAAAGATAACCCGCAACGTAGTTGGTTAGAATAAAACTATTTAATATTATTTATATTAGTGATGGATAAAAGTGTTGAATTAAATTTTATGGTTTCTGGGCATACCGAATTTAATTGTGATGGTAGTTTCTGACCGCTCTATAGAAAGAAAACTGTATATTTGTGTGGGTTATATTGTAAAAAAAATCGAGTACAGCTGATTAAACAAAACTCAGTAATGACAATGGTGCTGAAAGTTTTTTAAAAAATCGAGCGATTTACAAATGTATCAACATTGCGTATTAAAGTAACCAATCCTAGAGTTCAAAACTAATAGTTTTAATAATTCGAGTCCTAACAATCAACATAATTATTTTCTTTCTCGCGTGTAATATTCTTCCATCGTCTGATTTTGAAATACATACCATAGTCCAGTCTTAAACGTGACACGATTACTTTTATTATCTACTATCATATGATAACGATTACATGCTAATGGTAACAATAAAGTACAATGATGAATCACCTATCGGCTTATGTATTAATTGCTTCTTGGAAACCAACACATCTTTTCACGTTTAACAGTGGCAGGATAATTATGTAGAAAACCGCAGACTTTGTATTTATTGTTTTATCATTATAATCTAATAGTTAACATCATAAAATTGGTTGGTTTTCGATCAAAAAGGGATTAGCAATAAACCTTTGTGTAACTCAAATTGCGTGCCCAGACCAATATTATTAGTATGTACAAAATATTATCCATCCGCCCATCGTTCGACACTTCTTTGAGAATCTATCAGTGCAGTATATAGTTTATTATGTGAGTTGAATCGTGCGTAATATTTACAGTATTATGCATATTGGTCTTTACGATGAGGTGGAAGTTGATTCTTAGTTATCCAGTATAGTCCGCAAGCGTTGCATAAAGTCTAGAATATACATTATATACATAGAGAGAAAAAGAAAAAACAGTATTTCATTGAGTTCAGACGTAATAATACCCATATTGTCCACAATAATGATATACCTTTGCTCCATTAGGACCCCTTCGCACTAACGGCGTATTATGTCCATCAACCGCACAATGCTGACATCGCCATTTCTCTAGTTCTTCTGGCGCCAATCTCGATGCCTTACCTTCTGGCTTACGAGGATTAGGTGAGCTAGGTATATTCGGATTCAATCCCGATGAACGTGGCGTGCCTGGTCGTAGGGAGCGTGATCGTGCCGTTGCTCCTGCCCGTGAATTCTCTCTTCGTAACCGTCTGAAAGGAATAAATAACAAATTGAGCAAATTGAAACAGTTGAAAAAAAAAATATCGGATATGCTTTAATAAAGTCATAAATATAGATGACTACATACCGTATACTTCTCTCTTTGTCTAATACAACTTTCTCTAATTCCTCGGGCGTCAATGTCTCTAAGATGGGTGCCCATTCAGCAGTATCAACTGGTCTATACACCGTAGTTAATGGATCTTGATCCCTATCCCCGTCTACTAATCTCTCTTTCTTAAATCGAAGAAGCTGTTCACGAATGTTATGCGCGATTAAAGGTGCAAATTCGCCTCCAACACCAATATCAGCTGCCAGTTGTTTGGCAAACGCTTCGGGCGTCAAGTCTGAACTTAGGTCCCACTCAAAACGGTCTCTGAGATATAGACGTCCACTTTGAACATCGATCTGTGTTGGAAAATAAAAGTGTTAGTACTGTGAACACAAAGTACGTTGTTGTTTTGTTTGTTTTCTTTTTGTTGCATACTTGTATTGCGACTCGATTATCTTCCTCTGGTATTTCAACTTCTGCCGCCGCTTCGTAATCGTGTATTTGTGAATTTATTGATGAAGCAATGACTGGAATGAATGTCGCCTCTGGAATGTCCAAGTCGTTACATAATATTTGGGCAAAATCTTCTGGCGTAATTAACTTTTCTAAAAACAAAAGTAAATTTCCATGTGTGGAATGTTAATAATAATACATACACATAAGAACATTCTAACTGCTTGCGCGGAATGCCTTGCCGGACTCGGTTTGCTTACCGTTTAGGTTCCATGTGAATGTGTCTCGAAGCCTGTAGTTTTCAAAGTCAATGTCAAGCCGTATAGGTATTAGGACTTCCTTTTGTTCAGCGTTACGCTCGAGTTCCTTGTGATTTCTTATGAAAAGAATGTATAAGACAAACTTGTTTTTAACGGTATGAGGGTGCTGGTATACGATTAAGACATACTTGTATACATGTTTTGTCTTTTGCATGAAACGTCTCTGTGCAATCTTGTCGTCAGTCCCCGTTTTTGCATTTGGTAGTCGAGAGCCGGGTGTGGCTATACCAGAGTTTGATCTTACGTCGTCGTCAAAGTCAACGTCGCTCGAGTCCTCTACATAGCTTATATTAGCGTTAGCAGCACGAGCTCTTCGCCTACTAATAGCGGGCAATAAAAGCGAGGTGTTTCCTTCCTTTATTCTGTTCGCATATGTGCTCCAGGTGGCTTGTGTAGAAGACGAGGTTGTTATGACGGGGAATGAAGAAGTATATGGAGCTGCTTTGTGGTAGAAAGTGAGAAACAACAATAGAATCAATGTATACAGCGATCTAAAACAGTGTGAGAAACATATAAAAGTCTCAAAGTAATCATCTATTTCACATAGCGACTAAAAAGCGTTTGATCATCTTCATAAAAATAATCCAAACCCTGTCGCGTTGTACGCCTCACAGTCCCTGAAGAAGTCGTCGCGCTTGCTGTGTAAAGTGTGTTGAAAACTGTGGATGGATAAGGGCTATAGTTTGGTGTGGACTGAGGAAATACACTGGTGGTATAGGCGGATGTTGATGCATAGGGAAGTGGATATGAAGTCGTGGAAGTAACTGTTTGATACGTCGCCATAGGATAGCCCATTGTTGGTTGTTGAAGCCGGGAACTCATATTCTACAAATTTTATAAATTATACTTTTGGCTTTTCAGCTGGAAAATATCATTAATAGCTGTGATTTCAAAAAATTATTATGATCTGCACGATTTTTCCATTGTTCGGCCAATCAAAACCTGCTATTTTGGAAAGACAAATACATCGTCTAGCCAATCAAACTCCCATGATTTGATAAATTCATATTCCCGCCAGAGTTGGTCAAAATTTAAAGACTTGGTCCAACAAAGAAGAGCTATATCATAAATGTGTAATTTTATCAGGCATCTTGGTCTTGTTAAGTGCAATAACAACCGGCATAAAAAAATTCGAGCTATTATACGCTTTACAAAATTAACAACCGGTCCGTGGGCGTATATTAATATTTACAGAGACGACAACAAAAACCTTGCTACGAAAATACAGCAAGTAAACGAAAAAGCAATACGAATCGGCAAAGAATGCTGCCGTAAGGAAAGATATTGAGCAAGCACGCGATTAAACTTTAACTATTAATGCCACTACGACAAAGTAGTGCGATATTCTGAGAACAAATCTCCTTATTTACATCACAATAATGTAAGTAAAATTGACAGCATTTCTACATCATGATTATGAATACAGACCCAAGCACAAGAAGCGCTTGTATTCTAGGAGGTGGATATCGGCCATCACACCCTACGGTGCACCCTTCGGGCGGGCCCTGCTATTGTAAGGAAATCATCGTGCTATTATTATATGTACGTGGTATTCTGCAAGTTTGTTACATTATTGTAAATATTCTTGCCACTATTCATAAAATGCAAACGGTCTGTCATACCACTAAATGAATCTTCAAAATTCAATGTCAAGTGTACTTTCTTTGTTTTAATTGTTAAACTCTGAGTTTTGAACTTTGTCAGAAATGGGAGGCTGAACTTTTGACTTGCAATATAAGGTAAAAAGGGGGGTAATTTGGCAAAGTTAAACTTCTTGCTAAGTAAAAATTTTATTGAGTCGTTTATACCTTTTGATGTTCAGAGTCAATAAACTAGCACATACACTACCTGGACAAAAATATCGCACACCCAAAATTTATTAATTGCACAAAATTGTACATAATAATTATGTTTCAAATTTTAACATTTTATACTTTAAACAATGAATTAACTATATAAATCAATATCTAGTAGGCCAGCCATTGC